AGGAATGCCTCTGGCACTAAGAAATGAATGTCCAGAACACAAAGATCGCCACTACCCTCAAGTGTCATTCTGTGAGAACAAAGAGAGACTAGCAGCCCATCCCAGCTACAGAGCTGCATGGCCAGTCCCTCTCCTCAGGCTCCAGGAAGGCAGAAGGACTGGAGGAAAGAGAGGTGCTTCTGGTCCTCCCAGCTGTATAAACCTCACACGAAAGACGAGGATGTGTATCTGAGCAGAACAGGGTCGCTGTGATACTCAGATATGGCACATCACTCACCAGAAGGCAGGCGGTCTGCTCTCCACTCCACACTCTCCAGGCCCACAGCCACTGTGCTTCCTGCTGCCCCATTACTTCACACTTACTGTGCCTCACAACATATGCGAACACACAGGAACTTGTTCCTCTAAGTCTCAACACGCCCAAAAGAGTAGTTAACCGTGGGTCATTTTCAGCATCTTCAAGTGAGTGACCAAAGGACATCACTCACATGCACAGGCACAGGGGCCTTCTCACGCCGCCAATGATGTGGACAGTCTTTTTTTTTTTGCGGGATCTTAGTTTCCTGATCAGGGATTGAACCCGGGCCCTCAGCAGTGAAAGCACGGAGTCCTAACCACTGGACCGTCAGGGAATTCCCACGGACAGTCTTAAAAACGCTTCATCAGAAAGCTGCTCTCAACTTTAAAACCTTGCTTAAAAGGAAAGTGTCCTTCTGATAGCAAATGACAATTGAGTACTCTGAGGAGCAGAGAAGGTATAGAACAAACGAAATCCAAACACAATTAGCTAAGGAAGCATACAGCTCACATGATTCAACTCCATAAAATGAAAACCAAATTACCCACCCTCTTAGAGGTCAGGGGACTATGGGTTTTGTTTCTGCTGCCAGATGCCTGTCTTGTATGAGGGAGGACTGTCCTGGACCGGGACTCTGCCATGGTCTTTGGTCCTCCCTGTCACTGAGCCCACGAGCTCAGGCTACACCTCCCCACCTGGCCTGCTGGATGTAAGTGGTCTGCGTAGAAGGAGACTGGAGAGAAGCATGACAGGTCCAAATGCCTAAAGCACTGAACAAGCCAGAGGGAGCAGAGTGAAATCCTAAAACCTGGTACAAACACAAGGCGTGGATCTCCCCAGCCACCTCTCCACACTCTGGGCCCTGGCCTGCACGTAATCTGCCCCATTCTCACACTGCAAACACTTCACCTGCCAGCAGCTGCCGACAGCTAGAAGCATCTAGAGATGGAGGATGGGTCACAATTATTGTTCTGCAGCTAATGACTTTGTATGAAAACTATGGGGTAGGCTTCAATCTCAGCCTCGGCAGGAACAGCCTGCTCCTTCGTCAAGGCCCACGGGCTGTGACACTCTGCTGCTCGTGGACCACTTCAACTGCAAAGTCCCTTTTTTGAGTCCCATCTACACGGAATGAGCACCTTTGATGTCTCTACACCAGTTCATGGATGTCTAGTGTCCTCCTGTCGGGGACACCATCTCAGGAAAGAGGGCCCGCACCTGGTGCTCTGAGCCTTACGGATGGAGATACTCTAGTTCACTAGCCTTGAGAAAAAACCAAGTCACTGCGTTCTAACTGGAGGCTAATGACAAGTCACTGTCACTTATCTCTTAAAGTGCTTATGTCTTCCATGTAAATGATTTGTAGCAGCCTGATTTAAACATTTTCTGCAGGGCCCACAGCATCTAACACAACGTCTTGCAACTAATGGCCACCAATAAACACCTAATTCATTAACATTAAGGAAAACAACACGTCATAGATGCCAAATGTCAGCTCTTCACAGGTGCTGAAATGCAGCAAATTCAAGATCTAGCCCTTTATTATAAAAATGTGCTGTCTTGGTAGACTAACTTTTCATTTGTGTGAACACGTCCCCCTAATCATTTAAACTATTTTTTCATAGCCCAGAAGAAACATTTCTTAAACTTCACATCTATTTTTGGCTGTCAAATGACAGAAGACCTTTGGTGTCCCTGGAAGCACACGAACATCTCTCCAAATTACTGCTGTTATTGAAACATGCTCCAATTACCAAAATATCTGGGTTCCCACGGAGAAGTACAGCAAGCATTCAGTGTGCACACACACACACCCCACAGATAAAGCAGTTATACTAATTCAGGTTAGAGTCAAACGCCCACAAACACGGAATCTGGCCAACAGCCTGTAACCACCATCAGTAAAGGGATTCCATAAAAGGAATCCACAACTCTGATACCTCCTTTAAAATCGCCTTCAGTCACGGCCTAGGCACACCCTCTGGGTACCATGGCAGCCAGCTCAATGCTATAGGTGTGTGTATATTTATTTATTTTACTCAAATAGAACTTCTGAATTTTTGATTTATGTGGAGTGTAGAAATAACAGAACGTGATTCTGACATATTCCCAACTGTCCATTAATTAAAGTCTTGAAGGGTTGGGACTACTGTTTTACATGTAATCTGTTCCCCCACCACCTAAATCCTCAATGACTAATGTAACCCCAAAAATCCACTTAGCTTTTCTGAAACTAGAAATCCAAGAAACATCAATACCTGCTGAAAAATCCAACAGAAACACTGTATTTTGCATGCTTTCCCATCCTTGTCCCTGAACAGAAGTTCCTAAAACTGAAACCCAGATACTGCTATCTTGGGAGGTCAGGTTTAGACTGTGTATGTTCTCCAAAACAGGGCCTGGTCCAAGTACATCTGAGATTCTTCCTGAAGCAGCAGAGAACGTTAAGTACAAGCAAGAAGGAGGGGCTGAGATGCACAATAACTCTTTATTAGTTATCTTAGAGATGGGCTGAGAAAAATCCCCAAAGGACTAATGTATTTTTCTCTTCTGTCCTCGAGGCTGAGCTATAAGTTTCACTGTCCTGACTATACAGCTCTGGTTTCATGAGCGACTGAATTCCAAAATGTAGGGCAGAGGTAGATTCTAAGATACACACCCAAGAGAGTTTTGGGGGCGAGGCATCAACCTGAAAGAGTAAGCCCCTCAAGCAAGCCAAACCACAGCAGAGACCCAGACTCAGGCACCTCTGCCTCAGAGAGAGTGCCCTCCTTGGGTTTCACACTCACTCATTTCTACTTTTTGCTGGGGGAGGGGAAGGGGCACTCCACTGTCCTGCTTATCTCCAGGATCTCTCTGCACCCCACCCACTCTGGCCGAACATGCCCCAGGCCCACAGACCACAGCACCGCACCCGGCACCATCCAATCAAACACATCAGCTGCAGACCCTGGTCTCTTCCAGGAGGACCCCCCATTCCTTCTCAGAATCCTGAGTATTCCTCACCCCCTTCAGCTCACCTACAGCAAGTGGCTGCCCCTTCTGAACCAAATCCCACTCTTCCCCATCCACAGGCTCCAAAGTCAACAGACCTTGCCTTCTGCATCACCTGCTAGCATCCCTTCCTAGACACACCCGACCTCCCAAGAGTGGACCCACACACCTTCCTCACGCGCTCCAAGCCCGCACAGCCTCGGAGCCCGCACACCCTCCAAGCCCCTCTTCCGGGTCCCGCGCCTGGCCCGGCCTACGCGGCCTACAATGGGCGCCGCACAGGCCCGCGCCCCTCAGGAATGCGCGCCCGGCCGCAATACTCACCCGAGCAGCGGCGGCGGCGGGGCCCCGGGACCGGCTCACAGAGCGGCGCGGCGCGGCGCGGCCCATGCGCTCAGCGGCGACGCGGCGGGCGGGACCGGGCGGGGGCGCGGCCCCGAGCGGCCCCCATCGCAGCGGCGGCGCGGCGGCCCGGAGGCGGGCGCGGGGCAGGCCGCGGGGGCGCCGCCAAGGCCGGCCGCCCACTCCCACTGGCCTGCTCCGCGGGGACGCGGCTCCGGCCCGACTCCGGCCGGTCCGGTGGTGGCGGCGGCGGCGGCGGCGGCGGGGGCGGCGGCGGCGGCGGCGGCGGCGGCGGCGGCGGCGGCGCAGCGGCGGCGGCAGCGGCCGCGATCGCTTCCCCGAGCCGGGAGCCGAAGCTCACAGCGCCGAAGCCCAGGCCGGAGCGCCCCCGCCGGCGCCGTCCGGAAGTGCGGGGGCGGGGCCCGGAGCGTGAGGCGGGGCTTGGAGCGCGGGGGCGTGCCAAGAGCGTGGGGCGGGGCCGGGAACACCAGGCGAACCCCGAGAGCAGTAACAGGGCGAAGCACTGTGGGGCGGAGCCTCTAGAGTGGAGGCGGGGCCGGAGCGTTGAGGCGGGGCCAAGAGAGTGACAGCCCGGCGGAGAGCGCTAGACGGAACCGGAGCGCAGGGAAGGGCGAAGAGCGTAGCCGGTGAGGTCGAGCGTGGGGGCGGGGCCTGATGTGGGCGTGGACCCTGAGCGTGGAGGCGGGGCAAAAAGCGTCTAGGCGGATCCGAGGCGTGACGCAGAGCGTGAGCGAGTGGGCGTAATCAAATGTGTCGGTTGGGGAGACGCCTTGGTGTGGACGGTGCCAGGACGCTGTCAAGGGTGTCCCGGGAGGGGGCGCCGGAAACTGCGCTGGGCCCCTGGGGCTGTGTGGTCCGGGAGGGTGGCCCGAGCACCAAGCAGACGGGCGGCCCCCAGGCGCACCGCGGGCGCACGCCAGGTTGCAGCCCTTTTCTGCTGCCCACACGGTGTCCACCGGCCCAGGGCTCCCCAGGTCGGCACCCACAGGCCCGACCCGTGTCCAGCCGGCCTGCCACGGCCTCGGAGCTCCCTGAACGGGAAGACCCTCTCAGGAGGATGGCCACCAACTGCCCACGGC